CAGCAGAAGGAGATGTGTCATAGGACACCTGCTAGGGCCTGGCCCTCCAAATTCCTATGTTGGAGCCCTGAACCCCAGCACCTTGGCTAGGCCTGTATTGGGAGATGGGACTTGCAAGTGGGGATGAGGGGCGCCTGGGTGGCTCAGTCGGCTAAGCGCCCGACTTCGGCTCAGGTCACGACCTCGCAGTTTGTGGGTTCGGGCTCTGTGCTGACGGCTCGGAGCCTGGAGCCTGCTTCGAATTCCGTGTCTCCCTCCCTCTCTGCTCCTCCCCCGCTCGTGCTCTGTCTCTCTCTCTCTCCTTCAAAAATACAGACACTGAAGATAAAATTAAAAGAAAAAAATGAAGTGGGGATGAAAATGGGGCCTAGTCCACTGTGACTGTGTCCTTCTAAAAACGGGCAATCAGGACACACACGCTCAGACTCGGAGGCGACCACGTGAGGACACGGGGACAAGGCAGCCAGCCGTCCGCAGGCCGAAGAGAGGAGCCTCGGAGGGAACGGAGCCTGCGACACCTTCCTGAGGTGTGGGTGCTCCACAGAACCGGGGCAATCGACGTCTGTGCCCACGTGCTTCGCCACAGCAGCCCCAGACACACCTACGACCCCCAAACCCAGCGCGACCGGGGCCGCAGCCACAGCCACTGGGCAGCCGAGCGGCGGCCGAGAGACGTACATGTGCAGGGACTTCTGGGCCTTGGCGGCTTCCTCCTTGGAGCTGTAGCGGACCACGGCGTTGCCTTGGGTCAGGTTCAGGTGGAATGTGACGAGAGGCCCGTGCTGCAAACACAGCGTCCGTAGGGTAGAGCCATCGATCTGATTGAGGAAGCAAAGGGGGCAGTAACGAGCTTCCTGGGGCTTCTTCCGTGACATTCTTCAAAGGAAATGTACGTCACCCTGTGTACTAAGCACTGGGCGAATGTCTGTCCTATACGACTTTATGGTTTTACCTTTTATGCCTTGTAACTTACCATGTAATTTTCAACATAAGTTAAGTAAATCAGGAGAAAGAAAAGACCCCATTTTGGTTCTGGCCTCCCCGCCCACCCCCAGCCAGGGCACATAGCACAGAGCCCGTGGTCCTGGTGGCCTTGTGGCCCCTGACCCCAGAAAAGGTGAGCACAGGACAAATCGCTCTCGAGGGGCTGTAATTAAAGGCAAGCAACTGTCTAAAGGGTAGAGTCCTTAAGCCTAAAAAATACACAATTCACCAGGAACACGAGGGCCCCCGGCACAGAGACCGGCAGGCGGCGGGGTCCCCGCACGGTGATCCCCACGGCAGGCGCCTGTACCTGGGGCGTGAGGTTGCGGAGAACGAGCCAGCTGCTTGTCCTTCCTGAGGTGTCGGTGCTCCACGCGGAACCTGCACGAGCCAGGGAAGAGCAGTCAGCACGGCCTCCGGAGGCTTCTCATCTCGCCAATGCTTGGTGGCCCAGAGCGCCGCCGCGTGCTCTAAGCCTTTCTCAACCTTTGAAAACCCACGCCGTCGTTGGGCTTTGAGGAACCCAAGCTCACGATCCCTGCAGACTCCTGGGGGCAGGTGTGACGAGGGACTCCTCCTCGGCCCCCATGCTCCTTGGAATCAACGCTCTGAAATCCCCCTTGTTAGTACCGCAGACCCACCGGGCTGCTCTCAAGGGGCCGACAGCCATCGCCAAACTATCTGTGGTGGGTTCTAATCTCAGCTTCTTAAACTCCCAGTGCACGCGTTTCTCCCACCCGCACAGCTGGTGGAGGGCACATCAGGATACAGGAGCTGCCTCACGCCGGGGGCCATCTGCCCCAGAGAAATATCGTGGAGAAGCAAATGTGCACGAGGCAGCGGAGCCCCTTGTGCACGAACGGGCTTCCTCCCCGGGCCCAGCGAGGCCCCTCGAGGGGCGCCGTGACCGCCGGGGCCCAGGGCAGACGCCGACATCAGGGCAGCCGGAGCGCCGGGCTCAGACACGCCCCAAGAGTCTGGGGCGCCTCCTCCGCAGCCCGCCCTGGGACCTGGGGGGTGGGGTCACAGCAGTCCCTGTGAAGGGGTCCCGGGACAACGCGACAGGCACGTTCCCTGAAGGGTAAGTGGAGCAGGTGCACAGCCCCCGTGCTCCCCCACCCCACTTGCACAGAGGACGGATTCGTACCCGAGGAGTAAGAGCTGGTCCAGCCGAGGGGGCTGGCTCCCCAGGTGGAGGAAGGCTTGGGATTGGTTAACCCTGGAGGCGGCCTCGTGGGTGCAGTAGTGTTTCTGGGCACCTTCCACAGTTCGTGAGACAGAGAGGCTTGCGTGTGGGAGGCAGGGCCAGAGGACCACGTCGATTTAATGTCTGACAGTTTACCTGGAAAGGCAGAGAGACGGAGCACAGGCGTTCTCGAGACAGAAGAAAAGTCGCCGCGGGGTGTGGGGCGCCGCACGAAGTGCTCTCCGGTGCCGGCAGAAGCATCATGAGCAAGGAACAGCGAGTCAAGGCACCCCCACCCGAGAACCACGGGGTGCGCTCGCTCTTGAATCTCTGCCCGGAAACACAGGCGGCCTGCGCCCAGCAGAGGCCCTGCCGGTTCTACACTAATTCGCAAAATGTGCCAGAACCAGATTTGCCACCAAAAAATGGCATTTTTGTAGTTCAACGTTAAGGCTAATTTACCAACATATTCCACTGGGACAAGCTCGTAACGTGACACGCTAACTGAGGTCAAAAGCCTAACCTGTAGATCCTTCAAGCTATGTCTTTAGGCACCAGCCCCTTGCCAGGGCTCTGCCCTGACCGCCCACAGCTTCGAGACCCGCTGGCAGGGCCGCACTGCGCACACGGATGGTTGTGGCCCCCGGGTGCTGGCGGCCGAGCGTTCGGCATCTTGGAACCTCAGCCGGGGAAAGGGCGTTTTAAGGCTCTTTGGGAGAAAAAACCAAACTGGCAATGACTCCCGGCCCCAGCTTCTCCCGCACCCAGGGCCCGGCTGCGATGTGCGGACACCCGGACGAGGGCCGGGCCTGCCTCGCTCGCCCAGTGTGGCAAGGTCGGGAAGTGCTGCTGGCACGGTCGTCGCGTCGCCGTGGTCCCTGGACAGCATGGCAGTGACCAGGCCGATGTGGACTGTGTGTGCAGCTCCCCTCCACCCCCGCCTACTGGCATTGACTGTGACTTCAAACAAACAAACAAACAAACGCTAATCTCAGCAAAGGTGTCCTTGATGAGAAAAACAAAAGTGCCCTAAAAACTGCCTCATACAGGGAAAATGATTTGATTCTGCCCCTTTTCTTCCGCTAAATGATTTTGGAAGCATTAAAGGTCTACACACATCTCTGTAAACGTCAGAAAGAATAAGCATTAGAAGGAAGAGAGTCATCCAGACGCTTTTCAATAAGACGCTAAACTGGATGTTGAATCACTGTATTGTGCACCGGGAACTAATAGAAGACTGTACGTTTGTTACATTGGGATTAAAATTAAAAAAATAAATAAACGGATTTCGGAGTGAGGGGAAAAAATGCTAAATAATATCAAAACTACTTTTTTCCTCAGGTACGAGTACTAAAAAGAATTCCTATGGCGCTGGTTTAAGTAAGTTTAACTAAGTCTGGACGACAAGGTTTGAAGGAATACAGAAGTGTACTTGAAGACGCTTATAAGCAATAAAGTTTTCAGATACAAATTCTTCTGAGGTTTTTATGCCAGACAATTCTCCATTCTCCTGTAAGCCTAGAAGAAAACCGCTCACTTCAAAGACGTAAGCGTCTAGGGTAACAGAGAAATGATCCAGGCGCTGCACTTATCCGAGTGACGGGAAGCAGCCGCACTTTATGGGACCCTCTCTCGTCTCCTCCATCCGTGATGGCAAAGGTAACGGCAAAGTCTGAGCAGCTGCGCCTGTGTGTCCCTAATCCCCGTGCACCCCCTGTCCTGCAGCTGCGGGGGAGGGAGGGTGGAGGTACATTCAGGTGACAGGTGTGCTGCGTCCCACAACCACGTGCCCTTTGCGACAACCCCGCAGAGGCAATGTTCCCATGCCCACCGCACACGGAAGGGGGCGGAGGTGCCCGGGCCCCGCCTTCCCCGCCTTTGGCCTCACCCCAGGGCGCGGCCCGGGGTGTCTGGAGCGGGCGGGCGGACGGCAGGGACAGCAGGGCCAGCCGGTGCCGCCTGGGGAGAGCGGGGGCGTACCTGCAATGCTAGGCGCCGGCGCGATGCTGCTGAAGGAGCGACCGTAGCCGGAGGCACTGAGCGGCCAGGCACTCGAGGAAGGCAGCGCGGCACTCTGAGATGACGGTGGGGAGGACCCTGCAGGAGCAGAGGAGGTGCTAAGAGGGTGCCTGGCGGTGTGACCGCGCTAGCAACCAGGAGGGGGTCTCCCAAGGGGGCTTTGGTGGGAGGCTGACAGCGTGAGCGACACGCGGCCAGGGCAGGCCGCCGACGCTCGCCCCCCACGTGGGGTCCCACGGCCACGCGGAGAGGCCGGGGCGCTCCGGAGGGTACGCGGGGCGTCAGGGCCCGAGAGAAGGGCATCACCAGCAGGGTGTCGAGGACAGCGCCCTGCGTGGGAAGGGGTCACACTGATTCCCCCCCAAGTAGGAGAAAACGAACAGTACGGGCAGTCTCCAGCTGTTCACACCTCAAACAATACCCACCAAACTAAGAAAACCCTCCAAGTTCTTGGTTGTCCATTTGGCCATTAAAGACCAGCACTCCATTCCGACTCCAAATGTCTCCGTGTGTCTTCTGGCTCCCGTCCGTGCCGCTCCCGCTCCCTCATGACACGGGGGCGTGTGGTGGAGAGCCGTGTGGGGAGCTGGAGGGCTGGGCGCCCTTGTGTGACAATACCTGCTCGAGCACCGAGCACCACAGGGCGGGGGGACATGAGCACAATCGGCTTGTCACATTTCCTTCCACAGGCTGACCTTCCCGGGGCCCCACCTGGGCGGTGGCGGTGGCGGCTGAACTAGCTCAGCAGGTCCGGCCCTGGCAGTCCCCCCCCCCCCGGCGGCAGACTATGCAAACCACTTACATACAGAGGAGTTCTGTAGGTTCCCTTCTCCCAAAGAGCAAATCACGAGGGGCTCAGGAGCAGGGGAGAGGGTCCTCTGGCGCGTGCAGGGGGAGCCTGGCGGGAGCTGCCTGAGACTCGAAACGTCCACTGACCACCCCCTGAAGTCACCCCCCGAAGTCACATCACGGGAAGCTCCGAGGTGCCCAGGTTGGACAGCTGCCTGATTCTTTATCCCGGAGTTGGAGGTTCGGTTTTCTCATCTTATCCCGATGCGGACACTTCTGAGGCTTCTAGATTTTCCTCTGTCTGCCTCCGCCTCAGCCACTCCGGACTGGAGGATGGCTGCTTAGCCCCGTCCTCAGAATTTACCTACTTCTGCAGGGCACCTTTGTCACGTCACACTCATGTGTCGCCCGCGGTGCTCCAAGGGCCATTCAGCGGCCAATGGACCACTGGAGGACCCACGGGGCACTGGCAGAAGCTCTGTGCTACACCAAGCCACCTCGACTCCTTCTGAGGTCTTTCAACACCTGGGTCAGTGCTCCCTCTTCACACCTGCCACGAGCCTCAAAATACACTGATGGCCATTCCTGCTCAGACACAGCCCTGCCGCACACTCAGGGTGACGAGCTGTGAGAGCAGAGTCTGACTTCCGGCTTGTGCCTCTCCCTGTCCCCTGCCGTCTCACACAGGCTCCATTTTGTGTCCCCTGTACCACTCCTCTGTCCCCAACGGCAGGGTCTAAGCAGAAGCTGCATCGAGGCGCGAGGGATGCCCAGCCCTGAACAGCGGGATCTGAACTTCTGCTGGTTTTCTACCCAAACCACAGAAACGCCTAGAAGCCCGTCACTTTAAGGAACCGCTGAAAAGAACTGCACCTCTCCCACAGTCTCACCCACAGCAGGAGAACTGAATTAATGTTCTGGGAACGACCCGAGGGGCCTCATTGGGGACGAGCACCCACGGCAGCCCAGCTATTCCCACACACCATTCTGACGGTGACACCACGACTTCACCAGAGCTGCGCCGTCTGCCCTTCTCGGCGCCACGCCCGGAAGCTACACTTACGATTTGAACTTCACAGCCAGCTCCTCACTTCCTCCTGCTGGGTCCTAACGTCTGACACAGGGCGTGCCAAAATCCAGCATCCTGAGTTCTGCTGGGAACATGGTGCTGGGGGGCGGGTTTTAGTCTTTTTACCAGACTTCGTGGAAGGAAGTGGACGGAGATAGGGCAGTAAGGGGTCAATTCACCTGCAGTTTAAATAGATCCTAAGTGGGAACTTTTTCACTAAAAGGCTTAATCCTTAATATCGGCATTTCGCGACATAGTGCTCTAAAACGGTGTGTTAATAAATCCAGAGAGCCCACTTGGTCGAAATCAGGCTCCATTTTCACCTTCAGCGCTACCACTGGGTGGGGAGAAGTGCACATAAACGCGTCTCCCAGCGTCCCCGCCTCACGGCCCGCACGGCACCCGACACCTCACCTCCACTCTTGAGGAGGTAGCGGTTGACGTCCTGTATGGTGGTATTGATGGTGGGCCCGGTGGGGACACTTCCCGGAGTGACGTCGGGGTCGTTCTCAGGGTCTATGTTCTGAAGTCCTTTCCACGGGACTCCAGGATGGAATTCTGGAAAATGCCAAATGAAATGGAAATCAAGACACGTGAGAATCACAGCACCTTCACGTCGCCTCACGAGAATTTATGCAAATTCTTATAATCTATGAGTCAAAACAGGAGACACATCCTTTCAGGGAATCATCAATCCTCGGGAACCAGCTAGAAGCAGGTACTGTAGCTGCCCCGTTCAGAGAGTGTTGGGAAGGTGTAAAGTCTAGCAACCGTTTGACCAGACGCAACCCAGCGCCCACCCCCCTTCCACCGAACTAAGGGGCTTCAGGAAAGCGCTGGGGGCTAACCACTTCCCAAATCTGGATTTCCAGTGGAAAAGCCAAAGCAGGAGCTCACGCCTCCAGGACTCTCAGCTCAGATCCCGGCTTCTCCGGGGCGGAATCGCTCTCCCGGGGCTTGGCGCAGTTCTGCTCTGCCACTGCACGCAGGTCTCGTGCGCTCTTACCTGGGGGCCAGTTGATGCTGGAGCCATTCGAGATTTTATCACCGTCAGATTTGGCACGTGACCAGCTATGGGGAACAGCTACCGGAGGACTGGCTGGTGACTCACTGTTCTGGATTAAATCGTACCGGCCATAGGAGTCGTCAATGGAGGACTTAGCTGGAGGCCCGATGCTCAGGCCTCCAGGGATAGCACCTGTGAGGACAGCGGGAGGCAAAGAGCCCAGTGAACAGGGCGTTCTTGGGCCTCTGAGCCCTCGCGGCTGGGCGCCGGGCCCTGTCCCTTTCAGAGGTACAGGAACAAGCACACTCGATTTGTCCAGCACTCTCTAAGGATAAGTGACTGTTTCGGTTAGTGCGTCTGTGAAAGATTGAAATTGTTTTGTTTTTTTAAAGATTTTACTTTATAATCATCATTTAAAAAATTTATTTTATTTTACTTAGTTTTGAGAGAGCGCAAGGCGGGGAGGGACAAAAAGAGACAGGGACAGAAGATAGATCTGAAGCGGGCTCTGTGCTGACAGCTCGGAGCCTGGAGCCTGCTTCGGATCCTGTGTCTTTGTCTCTCTCTTCCCCTCCCCCACGTGTGCTCTGTCTATCAAAAATAAATAAATGTAAAAAAAAAAAAATTAAGAGTTGTAGGCTCCATCAACTGAGCCAGCCAGGTGCCCCAAGACCGAAATTCTTTAAGAACCATGAAGTTTGTCAAGTTGGAAGTCTACTGTGTTTTATTTTATTGAAAAAAATTTTTCTCGGTAGATAGACAAGTCTTCTTCCTGAAGGATACAGATAAAAATAAACAAATATTTAGGCTACGGTCCATGTTCTCACTGCTCTGGGGCATCTTCAACAACTGGGTTTGTGGCGAGCGGGTGGCGGTTGGGGTTTCAGGAGGCCTGACTGCAGACCGGCTGGGGTCTTATGCACCCACGGACAGAGTATTCCGTTCTAAAGGAATTCTCAGGAAAGAGCTGCAGCGTGAGTTAGAAAACAAGCACGCTCTGCAACCGGACAGCTGGCGGGGGCACCGTCTCGGACGTACCATGCTTGCTGGGGTTCTGGTCGAGGGGAGGAGCAGCACCGGGCAGGTTGTCCATCGGGTTGGGGTGTGTCCACTGAGGGAGGCGGGACTGGGACTGAGACGGGTCCTTCACTGACAAACCGCCAGTCATGTCCATGCTGCTGACATTCATGTTTGGGTTCAGTCCAGCTAAAAATAAGAACGCTGTTACGATGTGCCTGCTCTTCCTCTAAATTTCACTACCTTCTAACGCTCTCCTGGAGAACCCGTCCGAGTCTCAACTCGTAGCCAAATACTTCAACTTTTAATGCTGGTGGAGAGAAAAGCTATTTGTCTTTCTAACAACATCTATTTCCAGGAACATTATTCCTGAATTAAGGTGAAGTGGAAACGAATAGTCTCTGATTAAGTAAGACCAATGACTCTTTCCACTTTGCTCACTTCAGAGCTGAACATGGTCCTGGAGCTCCTCAGAGCCCACTGAGAGACAGGACGCGTCCAGACGATTAGGACAATCTTAGGGAAGCTCCCCGGATCAGGACAGCTCTTTCGGAGTTCTAGACGGGGCTCTAAAGGACCACCTAGAACAAGGCTGGTAGGGGTGATTCAATTCCACTTTTAGTGACCTTGCTCTACAAAAGTCTGCCCTTCAGGAGTTTAGGAATTAAATACCGAACTCCCTTTAAGGACCTGGCCTGTTTGAGAGTGTGGGGCCGCCACGTGCCCCCGCCACGTGCCCCCAGCTGGAAAGGCATGCCGATTCTGGGTTTTTCTGTAGAGCTAAAAGCACGTGCGGTCGGATGTGGCTGCGCTGTGCCAGGTTAATAAAGAGAGGTGAGGAGGATGGCAATGAGGCCGTGGTGAAGAGCCCCCGATGGGGACACCAGTTATGGGCTGGACTGAATGCGTGGCTGGGAGAGGACAGCCAACGGAAGCACATCCCAGTTACATACAGACCGTTTCCTTCCCAGACCAGGCAGAAGTGAATCTCGACTCTCAAGCAAGCTTCTAGTTTTAACTTGAAATCAGCGTCTGCAAACTCACATGCCTACGGGAGCCAGGTGGGTGTGAGGCAGACCTGCCAGGGAGGGTGATGAACCCTACAGGGCTTGTCCCACGTGAAGTGCCTGCCGCTGGTGCCAGCCAGTGGCAGCCATGGGGCGGGCAGACCCAGTGGAGCCACTTGAAGAGAAGCCAGAAGTCACCTTTATTTAAAAACCTCCAATTTTGAAATTTTGGCAATTAACACACACACACGCACACACTTCGCGGATGGAACAAAACCCCTGTGTGCGTCAGAGGCTGCTGGAAGGCCACCTTCACTTTGCACAGATCTAGTTGGCTGAGGGGATGCCCGCTCACTCGTGGACGCCCCACAAGTCAGCATGACCGCCCGGGACGCGCCCTTTCCTCATCACTCAAGTCCCCGCTCCTCTGACACCCAAGCTGAGACCCTGCTCCGGTCTCTCCTTCCCCACGAGGTGAGCACGTGCCCTCCCTCCTCCGAAGCGCCGTCCGGGAAGGTTAGTTTTTGTTACTCTATGCCCGATCTTCCCGTGTGGACGACAGATTCCAGCAGTCAGCAAACACCGGAGCAAGGAGACGCTGTGGATGGGGGAAGGAAGGTGGATGGAAATACAACCGCTGAAGAAAAACGCCAAGAACCAACCAGATAGGCAATTTTATACAATATCATCAAAATCATTTTTCATCTCATTTTGAAGATTCACTGTACTAATTCTTTCATTTGCCCTGAGAAAGAATCTGTAAGAGTGAAGATTGACGTACTTTGTTCCCCAAAAAGAAGGTCAGGAGGCCACATGGACACTAGGAGGCTGAAGCTGAAGCATTCTGGGATACCAGACAGAGTGGAGTTTGGTTGTGAAATAACAGTTCCTGAACCAGACGTGCCTCTGTCCAGCTCACATTCCAGACGGGCTTGTTGCATGCTGGGCACTGTCCTGAGAACTTCATGTATTAACTCACTTAATCTTTAAAGGATCCCAGGAGGGAAGTATCCCTACTTTATTTTTTTAAAGTTGATTTTTAAGAGAGAGCAGGGGTGTGCAGCTGTGTGCTGGGGGTGAGGAGTGGAGGAAAAGGATCTTTTTTTTTTTTTAAGTTTACTTATTTATTTTGAGAGAGAGAACGTGGGAGGGGCAGAGAGAGAGAGAGAGGAGAGAGAGAGAGAATCCCAAGGAAGCTCCACACTGTCAGCGCAGAGCCCGACGTGGGGCTGGATCTCACAAACCATGAGATCATGACCTGAGCCGAAATCAGGGGTTGGACACTTAACCGACTGAGTCATCCAGGCGCCCCCATATCCCCCACCTTAGATGAGGAGCTGAGGCAGAGGGCAGTCGGGCAAGCCACACAAGAAGCGCTGAGCCAGCCCTGGTGGTGGGTGGGCCAGCTCCCGGGCCAGGCCTCGGCTACCAGACTACCCAGCTCCGTGCTATAAAGGGCCGTGAGCGCGGGACAGTGAGGAAGGGGTGGAATGATCACAGTGGGCATTCATCAGTTTCATATTAAGGACGCACCACACCGATCGTATGTCAAGTGGACAGTGCTCACACGATTGGGATTTATGGCTCTTTTCAGAGTAGTGCCATGGAAAGGGACACCATCGGCTGGGAGCAAATCCAGTATCATGAACTGGCTTTTGCTCGTTCGGATGTGTATTTCCTGGGTTACTGATTCCCTTTGTCCTGTAGCCTCAGACTAACAGCCACCTGACAGACGAACCTGAGAGCTTTCACCAGTTTCTGGCTTCTTCTAGCAAACGTTTCATGCGCCATCAATTTACGGACAGATGCCTCCCTGCGACATTTCCTCGATACGGCCTCCGGTTACGTGACCTGTGCTCCCTGGCTAGCTTGTGAGACCCGGAGGGCGGCCCCTGCCTTCTGTTCACCTGTGGGCTTCACGAGCACGCCTCCTGCAGGCGAACGGGTCATCACATGCGTGGTGATTGGGTGGATGACACGAACCCCTTTCTCCACCACAGGACGTGTAGGGACAACCGTGGCTTTCCAAGAAGTGCCCGATTTGTAAAAACCTAGACGCCTTTACTGGCAAAACTGTTAGAAACTCACCCTGCGGTTAGGGTGGAGGATGGCGGCTGCTAAAGAGGAGGAAACCGGGGATAGAACTGGTTCGACAGCGGAAGTGCGGGAATTCTGGGGCTTCCACTGGGACGGCCTTCAAAGATTTTATGCTTAAAGGTATCCGTGGCCGCGGCGAGACCTTGCTCTGCGGCACAGCCAGCGCCGCTCCCCCACCGAGCGGGCCCGGGACCCGGCGCCGAGTAGCCACGCCGGGGACTCACCGAGAGGGTAGGGAGCAAAGGTGCCGGGTGAAGACTGCGGCTCTTTGGTCTGCAGGTCAGGCAGGCCGGGGGCCTGGGGGTGAGGGGGGAAGCTGTCCATGGCCGATTTGCCTGCAGAGGGGTGCAGAGACAGGTGCGGCGGGGGTGGCGGCGGCTTCACGAGCAGGGCCTGGGCCAGCTGGCGCTGGTGCTGCTGGATCTGCTGTTGCAGGTTAGTGATTGTGCGCGCGACCTGGTGGCAGAGACGCGAATTCGAAGGGGTCCCCAGGTGGCGCCCCTCGCTCGTCCGCAGACCCGGGACGTCCGGTCTCCTCCTCCCAAACCCAGGGGACCGCGGCACCGCTAACAGGGGCGGCCTGGCGGGCGGAAAGTCAACGACAGTGGAACGGCCGGCCGCCTGGCGTCTTCCGATCGGGGAAGACGGGAGCCCGCGAGTCCGGCCGTGCCCTCCGGCTGGCACCTACT